CATATGAAAATTCTATATGATAAGGAGTCACCCTAGCCTATTGAGGTTAGCTAGAAACCAAGTGAGATATGGGAAAATACCTCACTTTCCATGCAACCAAAATCTGGAATGGGGGACTTGATTATACTAAGTATTCAACTAATGCCCTTTTACTAGATTGTTAACTAAGTGTGCCATGCGGTCTTTGTCCAATTGTGAGTCCTAAAGTTTTCGTCCCGTAAATATCCTTGCAATTTTTTTTATGTTTGTTATGGTCTTAGATTGTAGCCTAACCATTCGACTAAGAAAATGAATGACATTACAAAAAATGAGATAAAAGCAATCACAACAAACACATCAACAATAGTAAGAAAGAGAGAATAAAAGGTAAGGTATGGTAAAGCAACCCGATGCAATATCGGGTAAAGAATATTACGAGGCCTCCTTCTTAAGCGCCGGGAGAGCAACCTCGTGAGCTAAAATCGAATGGAATCCAAAGTCTAATTCTAATTCTAATCTCTAAAAAGAAAACTATTATTAATGAAATCTACAAAAGAGGAAAAACACGTTGATGAACTAATTCTTAAATGCAAATCTAATATTAATGCAATGAGATTTTTATCTTTTCAATTTTATTTACTTTTTAACATTTTTTTATTTATTTATTTTATCAGGAAAAAAAAGACTATCTAAATGTTGGATTTTTTTGAAAAATTCAAAGAAAATATCTCCCTAAACAAATGAGCCCCAGCTAGAAGGAAATTCAATTAACACTAGAACCTCAGACCACCTAACTAAGGCTTGCACTTATTTATATACACATATATATTGTTTTTATTGTTTGTTTTCTTTTTCCCAGTTTATTCTTATTTTATTATTTATTATTTTTCATTCTTTAATATTTTTTTTTAGTTTTATTATTTTCTTTCTTTCGTTCTCTTTCTCGGTACATCACCTTGAGATCACGAATTCATATTTCGCTTGGTTTCCCTTTGCCTCTTTCAATTATTCTTTCTTTCCAAAATCCTATAAAGACATTATCAAATCTTTGATTTGTTCATCATTCACCTAGCTCTGTTCACCGTTCTTCTAGATTCAAAAACTTAACATCATAAAATATCTTCATCAACCAGGGAACTCATTAAAGCCATAATCCATATTCTAATCATCACATATTTAATAAAACATGTGACATTCCGAAATTTCGCTCATTTGGGATTTATGAAATGAATTATTTTATTAATGTACTCGTAGTTAGTTCTCGCCCGGAACTGATCATTACTGGGATACGCTAACCACTAGGGAAAGGCTAATTAGGGATTTGAATTCGTACGACTGAAGAAAATTTGATCGTGAATGGATTTTCGATCATAAAATCGTTGAGGTGATATTTTGAGCCACTGTTGGCCGATCCAAGGATAGCTAGGGGTCAGTTCGCCACTGTCATAGTAATGGATCGCGAGTGATTCCGCCGGACCACGAAATGACTTGACGAATTATCCTGAACCTATACCGAACGATCGTAGCCCTCGGATCTAGTAATTGATCCTCGCGATTTTAATGACAACCGAAGTCGTTACGGTTTAAATAAATTGCACGTGACTCGATTTAGTATCAGTCACAGGTCGTACAGGCGAATTTCCCAAAAGCCACCCGTTAGTCTGAGAAATGCTCGAGTTACGTTATATATATAATTTGAATATTGATTAGAGACCAAACCGAGCATCATAAAATTTGGAAAGTCACGGCAAGGCCTTTGGACGACGTTGTAATTGGAACGTACAACTCTGGATTTCTTCGGATTTTTCAGAAAAGTTCGATTTCGACGAGAAACGGAGGAAGTGACCATTTTACCCTTGGGAATTAATAAAGGGTTAGTTTTATGGGCAAAGGGCATTTTGGTCATTTTACCCTCAAATTCGGAAAAGACAATTTTGCCCTTGGACTTTTTGAGAAATTACAAGTATACCCTTGGATATTTTTGGTAAGATTCGATCTCGGCCGTCGGTTTCAAGATAAGATCGAATCTGGGCCGTTAATTAAAAAGATTAGACAAGGGTATGATGGTAATTAGCCATTTTAGTCAAAATTGGACTATTTTAGTCCAATTTCCCTTTCTCTCTCTCTCCATCTCTCTCATTCAGCCTCCCCCCCTCTCTCCCCCACCGTCGACCGACCGCCTCCCCCTTCCGCCGTGCCGCCGTCCGGACCGCCGCCGTGCCGCCGTCCGGACCGCCGCCGTGCCGTGCCGCCGCACCGCCCGTCCGCCGAGCCTCACGCCACCCTCACCCCACCATGATTCTCTCTCTCCCTCTCGGTTTCTCTCCCCTTGGCCGTGAGCCAACCGGCCACCGCCCAAGCCGCCGCCGTTTGCCGATTGCCGCCGATCATCACCGCAGCTGCTAGCCGCCGTTAGATCTTCGTCTTGCTGCCGCTATTTGCTCTAGCCGAGATAGTCTAGGGCTCAGTAAGTCACGCCCTAAACCCGACTTAGGATATTGGGTATCGACGGGTAATTTTGGCTGAAATTGGGTTTATTCGGGTACGGGATTGTACGGATTAGGGGTAAAATCAATTGGCGGGCCTAGGATTGAATTCGGGAAAATTTTATTGGAAATTTTGAGAACAATAGTGGGCTGTGGATGACTGTTCAGTGGGCTGTGATGGGCCGATCGGGATGCAAATTGGATTTTTAGAACCGGCAATTAATTGATTTGACAGTGCCGTGAAGGGCCGGAATTGATTTGACACCGTTTGGTTGGAGAAAAACGGCAGATTGTGTGTTTAATGTGTGTTGGAATTGCGACTGAATTTTGGTGATGAAAGCGAGTGCGTGATTGTGCAATTAAATGATTGTACTATGCTTGTCGGGTGCACGCTTGGGCCAGATTGATTTAATTATTAAAAATTGGCCATGTCAAATGCTGAGTGAGCACTGTTTTGTGTGTGAATTGATGCTTGCACAGGCCACGTGTGATTGGCCAGATGAGTATAGTAAATGCTGGTTGAGCATGTGTGAGAGTAAGAAAGTGAATGTGGTATGACATGTGATCGTGAAAATTGTGCCGTCCTGAGGCGTGTACTTCAACGCGGGACGATGCCCGATATTACCGGAAGACTGCCAAACCTGAGGCGTGTACTTCAACGCGGGTAGTGCAATAGGTGGTAGGTGTTGAGCCTGAGGCGTGTACTTCAACGCGGGCAAGAAACATGGCCCGAGGCGTGTACGTTAACGCGGGCCCTGGAGTGTTGTGATAAGTTGATCGCAGTGGACCTGAGGCGTGTACTATAACGCGGGTCACTGGCGAGAGTTGTGGAAAAGAAGTTATTAGACCGGAACGAATGTGCGAAATGTGAGTTGAACATTCCTGTGATTGCCTATGATGTGATTGTGACTAACGTGCAGGTAGTATGCATGACAGGCCCTGGTAAGAATAATTGATGTGCCTCCGTTGTGCTGATTATGTACTTGAATGTGTGCTTTGTGTGATTGTCTGGAGGTACGTGATAGCCTAGGTGGGGTTTAGGGGTGTACTTACTGAGATGTGATCTCATGGTTGTCTCAATGAATATTTTCAGAATCCCGACCTGAGCCATGAACCCATCGTCATCGCCGCCAGAGCGTTTTGGGGTACCAATGCACACCGAGAATGAGGTTGCAGAGTTTCTTATGGGTGATGGGATGACCTAGATTAAGCACACTACTACTATTTTTGTAGACGTAGGACTACCCCTTTGGGAGACTCATGTTTATACCGCCTGGTTCTTCCGGGATGAAGCAGGGGATGAGTTCGGGTCCGTTAGGGGTTTTGATGTCCCGTTTGATTTGGTTGGAGACTGGCACCCATCTGCCATACCCCCTATAGATGGAGAGTTGACCAGTGTGGAGACTAGTTTAGCTCAGTCTGGATTGCATCCAGCGCCCGCTGCTCAGGGATCTTCAGGGGCTGAGCATGAACCCGAGCCCGAAGCATCGCAAGCTGAAGATGATCCAATGGACATAGATTTAGAACCGATCCCCGAGGAAGATCCAGAGGAAGTGGAGCCCGAGGTAGAACCCGAGGTCGAACCTGATGAGCCTAAGGAGCCTGAGGAGGAACCGGAGTATGTACTCCCGTATGAGCAGTACATGGATCCTAACTACGTGCCGGAATATAACTTCTTTGATGGATTATGGGAGGAAGATCAGAATGAAGTTCCAGCTGAGTCGGGTGACATAAATCACCCGATTGAGATTGAGGCGGAGCCGGATTCTTCGGAGGAGCAAACTGATCAGGAGAGTTCAGATTCAGAAAGCGAGGAGTCAGACTTAGAATGGACGCCAAGCAAGGGGCGTAGGGGCTAGTATAGGGGGGTTCGGAATAGGTTTTTGAAGGGTATCATTTTTAGAGTTAGAAGGCCAGGTCATCAAACCCTTTTTGTTATCGGTGGTGGATGGTAAGGTGTGCTTATGTAAATGGCGATTGTAAATTGTGAATATTTTATAAGTAAGATAATGGAATCGAATATGTGTATTCTCTCTGAATGTTTCCCCAGTTTTAAATATTTCAGGATTAATTGTGGTATCCTCTGTGGATGTAAATCTCTGATGGTTGTTGAGGTCGGCGATATTCCTGGGACATCGCATAAATCGACCAGTGGAGGGTGTCGTGCTCTCGATAAGGTTCGGGGCGTGACAAAACAAGTTCAGATCCCAAACAGGAACTCAATGGCAGACGATCTTCAGGAAACTAGTAGTTAAGACTTCTCGACTTTATTCTTGAAGAACAGAGGATAGAGGGGTACTTACCTTGGTGATGCATGATGTCGAAGGATGATCAAACTAAGGAGCTGATGTCTTGGAGGTGTAATTGCTGGTGAATGGCGTTGGCAGAGAAGAAACGAGCAGGAGCCGAGCTCTTCGAATTCTCTGATAAGAAAACCCAGTAAAACAGAGGCGCAATCAGTGAGGCTCCGGAGCGACGGGCGGTGTCAATCAACAGTGATAGAGAAGGAAAATAGATGAAGAAGCCTCTGGTAGTTCAGGAAAAGACCGAGACTGAATGCACCAAAATCGAGACTGATCGTAGCTGAAATCGCAGAGCCAAAGGGCGCGATATGGAGAGAGCTGTGCCATGGCTGGAACTGGAGATCTTCGTCTGAAAGCAGGACGAAGACATTACATGATGAAGACGGCAGAAAGCACGAATTAGCGGGAATGAAGCTCTGGCTAGAGGCCCAACAGGATAGGGTCATCCTCACTAGATATCTTGTGGCCGTAGACTTGAAGGAGTACCAGAGGAGGGATGCGGCCAAGAGCAATGACAGTGGCGACTTTGCAAACACAGCGAGAGGGTGCAGCCGCGACAGTGAAACAACAGCAAGGCTTCCCGGGCATAATGAACTGGAACACTGGAGAAACCTGCAAGGAAAAATCAAGTTGTGGCGTGACAGTTAGGCGATTTTCGTTCACGCCTGAAGCTCCTTGGAGGTGCTGCTGCTGGGCTCGCTGGTAACACTTGGAGCTCGCTGGACTGATGTAGTGATGGGATGAAAAAGCACACCAATGGGCGTCAGAATCACCAGTTACTCGCAGGAGTGGCTGTCGAGGCGCGGTGCAGGCACAAGACGTGGCCGCACACAAAGGCTGGTAAGGACGCCATGCTCCTCGCTGGACCTGCAGGGCGTGAAGGCAGGGGCTCTTCAGGATCAGCTTGGGTGATGTCTCGCTACAGGAGCACCAGGAGGGAGCAACGTCGCAAAAGATCGCAGGAGATGTCGGGAAACCTCGCGAGTTCGTCCGATGGTTGCTGGAACTCGCAGCGGGAGGCATTGCAGGAATCTCATTGTGGCAGGGCTCGCTGAACATGGTGTGAGTGTCAGCGGAGCGCGATGGCCGGCTGTGGCAGCGGGACTGCTCATTAGAGTTGAACACGATTGAGAACAGTTGCAAACCATCGAAGAAAAAAGATAAAGATTCGGTTGAAAGGAAAATCTGAGCGGCTTCATCCGTTCCTTTCGTGTTATTTTCAAATGTCAAACCCACGATCGGTTCTTGGCCTGCATCAATCTTGGTTTCTTTTGAATTCAAATCAAAGTCACTCGAGATAACCACTTGGACTGTTGAGCGAATGTTCCCCATCAAATTTGCTCTATCCCTTCTGTTCTCACCTCACCAAGATTTACGGCCGCAAGTGTTATCGCTTCATCTTTTGATTCATGAGCAAGTGATGGCCGGCTATGTTAAATTATGTCTTGAGTTTGAGCCCGTATACAAGACCCGATACACACCTGGAGAATTTATTGTTCAAAGTCGTACAAAACGCAATGGTGAGCAGATAAAAAGGAAGAAGCAATTCTGGATATTTTCTGCGCATAAAAGAAATTTTAGCCATATTTATCTTCTATTAATTAAATGAGCCCATGACTTGACTTTCCTCTCATGCATGTCAATGGAGCTGCGTCCATTTTCTTCTTCCTCATAAATGCATGCACATGATGTGAATGCATGCACGTAGAAGAACGTGGGCACCGAACTTCTCTTCCCCCCTTCTGGTCAATTTCTGTGGGCTTCATTTGTCCTTTTGTTATTCAATGAAGGAAGAAAGAAGGCAGAAGCTATGCTCATTTTGTCATTGGCGGTGCATGATGGTCATGCGTACACACCATCATTAATTGCATGGACTTATGAAGATGGGGCCATTTGTTCTCCTATAAGAGGAGAACCGCGGACGAACAGAAGCAAGCCGAGAAAAGAGCTCCAGAAGAGAGGCGTGAGCTCGGAGGTACTCGTGCGCAGAGAGAGAGTCCATCGAGTTGAGTTATTAAATATTGTGAGTATTGGTATATATTAGGGCTGGGAAATATTTGAGCGTGAGCGATTGTAATCCTGAAATTCTCCGATTTATTAGTAGATTATTTGCCGGTTCTCTCCGTGGACGTAAATTCCGACATTCGGACCGAATCACGTAAATTTTTCATGTCCTTTTATATTGTTCCTCGTTTTATTTTTCTATCGTTTCTACGGCTCCTGACTTAATTGCAAAATTACGATCCGCTTCCGCCGCGTCGCCGATCATACAACAGGCTATCTATAGGAGGTGATCCAATGTGCGATTGTCCATGGTAACGTCATGGAGAGGCCATGACATTGGCATGTGCGATGCATGGCCTAGATGCCATGCGAATGTCAACTATGCAAATGGTATTTTTGTTTAAGGGTCGGGTTCAATTCCTAATTTTCTTATGCAATAAATGACTAAAATGAATTAGCCAAAATTTAGGTATCAACATATTTGAGCATTGATCATTAGCTTATCTATTGTACTATCCTTAAACATCTATCTTTTATAAAGTTCAGAATTTCTAAAAAAAAAGAATAAAAGGAAACTATCTCAAAAATGTTCTTGAATGATTTAGTTAGTTTCTAATAGATCTTTCTTCAATCATGTCATATTTTATTTAGATGAACCAAATTTACTTAACTAAGAATGATGGATCCTTGTGAACCGATCTTATGTTCTAATGCGTCATATCCAAGTTCATTTTATCGTAATGCCCGTATAATTTTTCAACTCATTTCACATAAGAATTATGATAAAAATTGTGACAAGCTACGATAGAGATTGGTATTTCGAGAGCCCTCCATGCACTAGCAGCAGTGTGACATAGCCCCATTTAGAGATGGTCTCTAGTCGACATAGAAAAAAAAGAATGAGTTAAATCATATCCCATTTCCTGGTATGAAAAAGAAAAACCTAAAAATAGCCCAAGCTTGATTTCCACACAATCTGCTAATGTATGGTTCAGGAGCATGTGAGATTTTACAGATGCTTTGGATTTTGGGGCTTTTGGATCTTGGGAAAAGAAGTGTAAACCATCATCTGGATCACGGAACCAGTCCGTGTCACTGGTTGGAAGGAACGTTTGAAAAGTGCCATCCACCAAACTGTTCCATGTTTTTTCTACTTAATTCCAACTCCTCGTTCACTAAGTTTGAGACTAAAAGATTTATAGATCTTTATAAAAATAAAAAAAAGGTTCCCAAGATCAAGTCCAAGCCTGGTGTTATACAATCAATTTAAAATTTGGTTCAGGTTTTTGGTAGAAGCAACCGGCGTTGAGGCTGAGACAAACACAAGAATATTAAGATGAATTAACTTGTATGCTTCCTGTCAAAATATGAATTTGTGGAGTGCAGATGTGCATCTTTATTTGGTTCCTCTTATAGAGATATTAAGAGAACAAAAGAACATTATCCAAGATGCCACAGGCGTATGTTTAGAGCCAATTCATAAGACAATGAATTCCCTTCTGTTTTAAAAGAATGTAAGGAACATAATCTAGATTAACAATGATACTTTTTCATGTTTTGTGTCAAGCCATTGTTTTTATTTAACTATCATAAATATAGCCCACCACCACTAATGAATCAGAAGAATGGTATCACTAAAATCAATTTTCTTGAATTCCGTTAGCGTCCTTTGTTAAGCAAAAGTGAACTAGGAGAAGCATAAAACTTGAGAAGTATCAGAGCATAATAGCAGAAGGAATTGCAAACTTCAGAAATCCAGGAATCACATGAATGGCTTCGTTAGAGAAACCGGTCCAAGTTCTTTACAAGACAGTGAAATCCTGACATATAATGTGGGCGTGTCACGCCCCGAACCCCATCGAGCACGCGACATCCCTCTACGGTCGAATTTATGCGACATCCCAGGAATATCGCCGACCTCAATTAACCATTAGAGATTCACATCCACAGCGGATACCACAATTAATCCCGGACAATTTAAAACTGGGGAAAACAATCAGGGAGTATATGCACATATTCTATTCCATTATCAAACTTATAAAATAATTACAGTCTACAACCGACATTTACATATGCACACCTTACTATTAACCATCGATAACAAAAAGGGCTCGATGACCTGTATTCTAACTTCAAAAATGGTACTCCTCCATAAACCCATTCCTAACCCCCACACTAGCCCCTACGCCCCTTGCTAGGCGTCCATTCGGAGTCCGACTCCTCGTCATTTGAATCCGAACTCTCCTGATCGGTCTGCTCCTCCGAAGAACCCGGCTCCGCCTCAATCTCAATCGGGTGATTTATGTCACCCGACTCGGCTGGAACTTCATTCTGATCTTCCTCCCATAATCCATCAAAGAAGTTGTATTCAGGCACGTAGTTAGGATCCATGTACTGCTCATACGGGAGTACATACTCCAGCTCCTCAAGCTCGACCTCGAGTTCTACCTCGGGCTCCACATCCTCTGGTTCCTCCTCGGGGATCGGTTCTAAATCTATGTCCATCGGATCATCATTAGCTTGCGATGCTTCGGGCTCGGGTTCATGCTCAGCCCCTGAAGATCCCTGAGCAGCGGGCGCTGGATGCAATCCAGACTGAGCTAAACTAGGCTCCGCGCTGGTCAACTCTCCGTCTATAGGGGGTATGGCAGATGGGTCCCAGTCTCCAACCAAATCAAACGGGACATCAAAACCCCTAACGGGGCCGAACTCATCCCCTGCTGCATCCCGGAAGAACCAGGCGGTATAAACATGGGTCTCCCAAAGGGGTAGTCCTACGTCTACAAATATGGTAGTAGTGTGCTTAATCCAGGTCATCCTATCACCCATAGGAAACTCTGCACCTCATTCTTGGTGTGCACTAGAACCCCAAAACGCTCTGGTGGCGGTGGCGGAGGATTCATGGCTCAGGTCGGGGTTATGAAAAATATTGGTTGAAACAACCATGAGACTACATCTCAGTAAGTACACTCCTAAACCCCACCTAGGCTATCACGTACCTCCAGATAATCACGCAAAACACGCATTCATGCATATAATCAGCACCACGCAGGCACATCATATGCAATCACAGGCAAGTTCAAATCACATTTTGCACATTCGTTCTGGTCTAATCACATCTTTTCCACAACTCTCGCCAGTGACCCGCGTTACAGTACACGCCTCGGATCCACTGCGACCAACTTGTCACAACACTCCAAGGCCCGCGATATCGTACACGCCTCAGGTCATGTTTCTTGTCCGCGTTGAAGTACACGCCTCAAGCTCAATATCTACCACCTACTGTGCAACCCGCGTTGACGTACACGCCTCAGGCTGGCAGTCTTCCGGTAGTACTGGGCATCGTCCCGCGTTAAAGTACACGCCTTAGGACGGCACAATTCCCACGATAGTACTTACCACACCACATTTCTTTCTTACTTATGCACATGCTCAACAAGCATTTACCGCACTCAACTGGCCAATCACACGTGGCCCGTGCACGCATCATTTCACACGCAAAACATGTTCACTCAGCATTTGACACGGCCAATTTCAATAATTAAATCAGTTTGGCCCAAACGTGCACACAACAAGCATATTTCAATCATGTAATTACATAACCACGCACTCAATTTCATTATCCCAACCCAGTCGCAGTTCCAACACACACTAAACACACAATCTGCCATTTTCCTCCAACCAAACGACGTTAAATCAATTCCGGCCCTTCACGGCACTTTCTCACCACTATTTGCCGGTTCTAAAAATCCAACTTGCGTTCCGATCGGCCCATCACAGCCCAGTGAACAGTCATCCACAGCCCACTGTTATCCTCAAAATTTCCAATAAAATTTTCCCAAACTCAATTCTAGGCCCGCTATTTGATTCCACACCTAATCCGTGAAATTTCGTACCAACTAAACCTAATTTCGACCAAAATTATCCATCGATACCCAATATCCTAAGTCGGGTTTAGGGCGCGACTTACCGAGTTCTAGACTCACGCGGCTAGAACGGAAAGCGGCGGCAATTGACGGGGACGGCGGTGAACGGCGACACGGCTCGCGGTGATCAGCGGCGTGCGGCGGCGGCGCGGCTCCCTTGGCCGAGACTCACGGCCACACGGGGAGGAGAGGAGGGAGAGAGACGGACGGCGTGTGGCTGGTGGTGGCCTGGCAGCGAGGACGGCACGGCAAGGCGGCGGTTCGGCGGGCGTACGGGCGGCGGTGACGGCGAAGGGAGAGGCGGCTGAAGGGGATCTCATGGTGGGGGGGATTTTCGGTGGGGAGAGAGAGAGATGGAGGAGAGAGAATGGTCATTTGGACCTAAATAGTGCAAATTTGACCCAAAGTGGCAAATTACCAAAATG